CAAAGGCTCAATCTCGCTGCTTTGACAGGGAGACGCTACTTTTCCACCCTGCCCCTGATGCTGGGCATAGTGATTTCACATCAAATCTAGCCTCCCGAAGGCTGGCCTCGTCTTTTGTGTTCAAGTGTCTGTTTGGCAGGCCGACCTCCCTGGGACTATTTTAATGTATATTTAGGGATTGAAACAAAATCTTTGCTCTTGTTTAGGAGGGATAGCCCTGTTAGTCTGTATCTGCAAAAACTATGAGGAGTTCTTGGGCACCTCTGGGCATGTCTACACTGGGAAATTATTTCAAAATAAAACCTCCTAAAATAACTATTTTGAAATAGTGTCCAAACTATTGGGTGGCCTCGAAATTAGTCTAAAGCAGACTCCCTTAGGGTGCGTCCGCACAGCATCATGACTTCATTCAAAATAAGCTATGCAATTTACGCTACGCAAATTGTTTAGCTGATTTCGAGATCATTTTGAAATAGTGTATTTTGGAATTTGGGGCTGTCTACACCGTGCCGAATTTCGAAATAGAGTGCTATTCTGACAAGTCGCGTAACCCTCGTGGAACGAGGATTACAGGGACGCCGGAATAGCGTGCCCGTTATTTCAAAATACTTTTTCGAAATAACAGGCACATTTAAAGACGCAGCATTGTTATTTTGGGATACTTCCGGTGAATAATTATTTGGACTGACTCTGGAACGTGGTTATTTTGAAATAACAGCAGCGTAGCATCCACATGACCTCTATAAACTATTTTGAAATAAGCATTATTCCTTGGGGAAAGCAGGAGTTATTATTTCGAAATAATGGGCTTGGTTGTGGGGACGCTCTGCTTGTGATTTTGAAAAAAGGGGGGTGATTTTGAAATAACTCCCTGCTGTAGTCTGGGGCTTAGAGGATAAGAGCTTTATTAGGGTACAAACTTTTGTGAGTAAAACCCACTTCATCAGATGAATGGGAATAGAAGTGACAGAAGCAGGAAGGAAGAAGTTGCTTGCATTAATGAAGCTAAGTGAATCAGGGTGGAAGTGGGTCATTCACAGCATTTGGTGTGGAGATGTGAATATCCAGAGAGGGGAAATTGCCTTTGTAGTGCGTTAACCAGCTGAGATCCTTATTCGATCCTAAGTGGATAGTGTTGAATTTGCAAATGAATTCTAGTTCAGCTGTCTCCCTTTGTAACCGGCTCCTGACGTTCTTTTGTAGAAGGATGGCTACTTCCAAATCCATAACTGAATATCCAGCGAGGTTTATGAGCGTTACCATTCCGGATGGCTAGGGTCAGGGGCATTCATCTGCCAGGTGCTTTATTTTCCCTTGAGCTCTTTCTGCTGATTTTCAGGATTCCTCTTTCTGCTGATTTTCAGCTGCAGCTGTTGTCTCTTTGTACTGCAGATGGCTTTGGTAATCTCTGAACTGAAGGATGGAAAACTTTATAGCCAATGAGAGGAGTAGCAAGGGGGCATGTTGTGGAAAGCATCTTGTGGCTGGCTGTGATGTGACCGGAGAAACATGACTCAAGCATTAAATCCAGACTTCCATCTCATGTCTGACTCACTGGTTAAAATCTGTTGCACTCTCTCTTGGTATAGACAATAGATGGTGTTACAAAGCCAGCCATTTGGCATTGGGAAGTGACTGTGGTAAATGAATCATGCCCAAGGAATAAGGCCTGCAGGACTTCAGCTGTACGGGGTCTCTGTGCCACACCCCAAACTGCCTCCCAGTTGAAAGCCAACAATAGAGATATTGGGGGGGAGTATATTAGAGACACAGGTTCCTAGGCTGTTGAAACACATGGGATTGGGAGAGCTGCTTTGGAGGGACAGCTGATACGTATTTGGTGTGTCTGTATACTGTACGTATTGAAGTAGCACCTACAGAGGCCAGCCAACAGCAGGCAAGGCACTGTAGTAAGACAGTCCCTGCACCAATGAGCTCCTAGTCTAAACAGATAAGACAGATGATTGGTGGGAGGGGAAAGAGGGCAGCTTGACAGGTATAGCCAAGTTTCCTGCGGTCCCATGAAGTTTACAGCCACCAGTTCTGGCTCTCAGGCTATGTCTACACTGGCATGATTTTGCACAAATACTTTTAACGCAAGAGTTTTTGCGTTAAAGTGTTTGCTCAAGAGAGCGTCTATACTGGCATGTGCCTTTGCGCAAGAGAGGTGCTTTTGCGCAAAAGCATCCATGCCAGTGTAGACGCTCTCTTGCGCAAGAAAGCTCTGCTGGCCATTTTAGCCATCGGGCTTTCTTGCGCAAGAAATTAACTTTGCCTGTCTACACTGGCCTCTTGCGCAAGAACAGTTGCGCAAGAGGGCTTATCCCTGAGCGGGAGCGTCAGAGTATTTGCGCAAGTCAGTGTTAGAACGTCAGTGTTCTTGCGCAAGTACTCGCAGCCAGTGTAGACAGGTGACAAGATTTTGCACAAGCAAAATCTTGCCAATGTAGACACAGCCTCAGTGTTCTGTGCTGTTATTTATCTCTAATTTACCCCTCAATGTCTTCTCAAACCCCAGTAATGCTGCTAGCTAATATTAACCTCCCAGGGTCTGGCAAATTCTCTGGTTCTGAACCAGGTCCCGAGGGTTCTAGAGAGTTTCCCGGACTAGAGAGGTTCCCGGACTAGAGAGGTTCCACCTGTCAGGTTCTGAAGGAGTCAATCTGATGGGTGCTTAATGGTTCCACGCGAGCTGGGTTAAGCGAACGTAAAGGGTGCATGGGTGAGCCTGCGTAACTGTGACTCTGTCCTCTTGTACATGAGGGTTAGAAGAGCCTTCATTCACACCTGATTTCCCAAATCATCGGTCTATTGTAGGGGACATTCCGTGGGTGCGGCTCCTGCAACTTCCTTTGTCATTGTCCTGCGTGGATAGGGCAGTGCAGTGGGGGTGCGAGAATAGCCTGGGATAGATCTTCACCCTCTTGAAGCTGACGTGAGTTTGGCCTTTGACTTCAGCATGGTCTGGATTTCATAACTCCATAACACCAACGCTCCTTGCAGACATATTTAGGTACCTGTGGGCTGGTCCATCATTCACTTGTGTCCTTTCCTTGCTCCTGCATTGTAGCCAGCCATGGCAAGGGGTCGTCCACCCCAGGACTTGATGCTCTGGAACCAGCCCACCATCCTAAGCTACTATGGCAGCATATGGTCGAAAGCGAGGTGCATCTCGGCTCTCCGGAGCCATCTGAGACAGCATGGGCCCTGGGCGCCAGTACGGGATGTTAACTGTCGGGTATTTGTGTAAACGTGTAACTGCTTGAAATATTAGATGTTTACATGCAGAGAGAGCCAGTGCTCACAGGGAGCCGGTTTAATAGCCGGCTGCCCACGAGCATCTATTCCTGCCTCCCCCCCATCCTCTTGCAGCCTCTGTGAGAGGTGTGTGTGTCTCCCACCGGCTCCCCCTCTGTGGGAGTCAGGTGGCCCTGAAGGAGCCGACACATGTGGGGGGCTGGCTTAAAAGCTTACTCCCTCTGATACCAAGGCAGCAAGAGAGGGGGAGTGCGCGTCGTCAATAGGATTAGGGAAGCGTGTTTAGTCGATAGGCCGGAAGTAGAGAGCTTGCTGTTTGCTGGCTGCCGATCCTGTGCTCGCTGACAGTGAGAACGAGTTCCCAGGGCTCCTAAGGAGCTGCAGCATTCCCGGGCTATCTGAACTTGGTGCTTTCTAAGCCCCTTAGGTGAGGGGGTTGTTCCATCAGAAAACCCCGTAGCCAAGGCCTGACAAACAGCCGTGGCAGGGAAATGGTTTGAGCTCCTCCTCCAAGTGGTAAGGAGGGAGATGTTGCCCGTGTTTCTCAACACAGCCACACGCACCCGCCCTCGTCCGCCTGACCTGCCAGAAGTGGCTGTGCGGTGGGAGGCGGGGGCATTGACTGGCGTGTATTTGTGTAAACGTGCAACTGCTGGATTTTGAACGGTGACGTGTTTACATGCCGTGGGGGAGGGGAGGGGGGAGCCAATGCTTGCAGGGAGTGCGTTTTTAAGCCAACGCCCCGTGACCACCGGCTCCCGTCTGCCTCCCTCCTCCCTCCCCGTCTGCCTCTGATAAAGAGGTGGTGGTGGGGAGTTGCAAGCAGTTCCTACCTGCCTCCTCTCATCCCCTCACGCTAGCAGAGGCAGAAGTGGGGGGATGGGAGAAGGCGGCTCCACAGGAGCCAGCTTAAAACCTGACTGCGCATGGGCACCGGCTCCCATCTCCCCGCGCTGCTTGCTGCCTCTGATATAGAGACAACAAGGGGAGGATGTGTGTAGTTGTTCGGATTAACCAATAAGCCCAGGCAATCGACTACCCACTAACATCCCTAGTAGGAGGTGGCCCTTTTTTGGGTGACGTTTATAAAAGAGGTCCTGATCTCTCATGGATATCCAAGACCCTATAAGGCAGATTGCTAACCCCACTCCCCACCCTGATTCCCAATCGGGTAATGGCATTCTGTTGTCCCCTCCACGTTCCCTGTGGGATAGCAATTCGACGCCATGGTCGTCCATCCATCTGGCTCTCGCCTATGGCTTTAGCGCGGGTCAGTGCTATTACATGGCAGCATTCTGGGATGGTGGATGTGACCCCTTTGCGATGATATTCCCAGAGGTTCTTTGGGATGACCATGATCAAACCATCAAATCAGGCTTCCTGATAAACCAGAGCCACCTGCTCATTTATACGGCATCCTCCCCATTGCTCTAAGAGAGTTTCATGAGCCTCAAAGAACCCTTCCCAACACCAGCGGGGAAAACGCAAATGACAAATTAAAACCAGATCATGTCCGTTTGCAACTCAGTCATCCCCCATCTCCATCATCCTCTCCCCCTCTCCTCTCCCCAGTCTCATTGTGGTCGCCCGCTCTGATACATCAGCATGATTATCCGTGTAGTGCCTCGGGCTCTCGATTTGTAGCCATGGCATGAAAGTATCTCCCTGTGATGCAAATCAGAAACTTGTCTGCAGGAAGGAGCCCTTGAAGTAGTTGGAAATCTTGTTTCTTGCTCCGCTAGGTCAACCCCGGCGAGAAGACGCTTGCGGAGAGACGATCCAGTTTAGACGCGGAAATCGATTCCTTGACCAGCATCCTGGCCGATTTGGAAAGCAGCTCCCCCTACAAGCCACGGACTCAACAGGTGAGTGAGTGAGCTCCTTTGGGTGCCCGTCAAACGGTGTAAACGTGGAGTGAGAAATCCGCACTTCCGGAGTCAACGTGCAAACCAGTTTGTAATCCTGGTGAGTGCGCCCGCCAGTTTGTATCTTTGCAGCATCCAGATGTGCCTCCCGATGGGAGAACAGGCGCAGTGGGGCGCGGGACCAGCGGAAGAGCTACCATGCAGCCGGGTGTCTGTATGTGAAGCTGGTCAGAGGGGTAACCGTAAAAATGGCATCTTGGGTACCGTGATTTTCTTTTCTGCCATAGCGGCTGGATGCTCCAAAACACTTTTTATCTGGCAGCCTGACCCTGCTCTCTGAATATCGAGCTGCCTTCTTTTTGCTTTGCTGTCTGATCAGCAGCAGGGGCGAGGGATGGATCTTAGCCCGGTTGTCAGCGTGGTTACCACCGAATGGAACCGCACGGACCCCTCCGGGTCTAGATCTGGGCAGCAGGTCAGATTTGTATCACTCGGATTCTGGGGACACGTAGGCCGCTGATCTCTGCATGTTGCAGGATTTTTTAGCATCAGCAAAATGACACATTCGTGGCATTTCAATGGGTTTGTTGATGTGGTGTCCAAAAACCTCCCACACCCAATAGTCGTCCAGTTGGACGTTTCTGTCTGCTTGCCAGTGAGTATTATGCATAGATGTGTGTCTGCGTATGCATATGTGGACACTATACATGTATGTTCCAGTGATAGTGATGAAACCCACGGAAGCGAGCTGCATCGGAGTCAGCAGATGCAAATGCTTGAGCTGTGTGAGGTATTTGTATTCAGTTGCCATCTGTTCAGGGTAAGGCTCTGCCTCCTTAGGCATTGCTGTAACTGGTCTTTTACCGGCAGAGTAGCTGTTGACGTATGGCAGCATCTTGAGTACAGACACTGCACGCCACGCTAATACTGGTGTATATAGCAGGGTAGGTCGTGAGGTTCAGCTTAGGCCACGTCTCCACTTGCCAGAGGCTCTACATGCTGGTGATCGATCTTTCAGAGTCTGATTTAGCGGGTCTAGTAAAGACCCTCTAAATCGAATGCTGAGGCCACCCTTGGTGGCGCTGGGACTCTTGGCGGTAGAAATCCCACATTCCAATGCCGCTCTATGCAGGTTTTTTGGGGATTCTGTAGGATTCAACTGTGCCGTCATGGTTGCAGTTGAGCCATGCCACTTATTCAGTGCTGAGACCCTCTCTCCTGCGGGTGGTGCGTTTAAACTCACTTTTAGCCCAGGGTTGTAAAATCTTGTTTAATTTAGGCATGTCAGAGGTTAACTGGGTATCTAGTTACTCAGTAGACAGTCGGCTTATTGACCTACTTACAAGGTAACAGTCCGCCTGGCTGGACGGACCCCCCCCCTGCCAGTGGCCATATCAGTTAACTGGTTAAACAAAACATTTAACCAAGTAACTATTTTAGTGCATTTATACATCCCGGCTACGTCTACACTGGCCCCTTTTCCGGAAGGGGCATGTAAATTTCACTAGTCGTCGTAGGGAAATCCGCGGGGGATTTAAATATCCCCCGCGGCATTTAAATAAAAATGTCCGCCGTTTTTTTCCGGCTTTTAAAAAAGCCGGAAAAGAGCGTCTAGACTGGCCCCGATCCTCCGGAAAAAGTGCCCTTTTCCGGAGGGTCTTATTCCTACTTCGAAGTAGGAATAAGACCCTCCGGAAAAGGGCACTTTTTCCGGAGGATCGGGGCCAGTCTAGACGCTCTTTTCCGGCTTTTTTAAAAGCCGGAAAAAAACGGCGGACATTTTTATTTAAATGCCGCGGGGGATATTTAAATCCCCCGCGGATTTCCCTACGACGACTAGTGAAATTTACATGCCCCTTCCGGAAAAGGGGCCAGTGTAGACGTAGCCTCCTAGTTTAATTACTTAAATGGGCCCTGCTGCAGTTGGGGGTGCTCTGGCTGGCCTGGAGCGCCCCTGCCTGCGGTGTGCCCTGCCCACAGTGGGTACAGGGCTGCTCCAGCCCCTGCTGGTTAACCGTAACCAGTTAGCAGGTTACTGGTTAACCGTTCACATCCCTAATTTAGCATGTGCAACTCGTGCTGTTTTCTGTCAGCACAAGCGACTGTGGAGATTTGTCGCTTGGGGTGTGTCTTCACCACACATCTAACCCAGGCTTCTACCTGGTCCAGACACCTCTGCTGGCCGCAGGGGAAAGCTTCTAACCAGCGTTTGGAGATACTCTAAACCTCACCTAATCCACTATCTTGGTGGCAGCGGTGGGGTACTTGAACTCAAGTTAACTCGGGCTGAACCCCTCCGCGTTGGTGGCAAGACTGTGTGCAAAATCACTCCAGTGGCTGATAGTCCTCCGGTGGCTTCCCACCATTCCCCCAAAGGATAGGTAGGTTCTTCTGTAGGTGATGCAACATATTGGGGAAGAGTTCTAGAGTGCCTCAGCTGCCTTTTGCTCATTTCCCATTACACTTTGAGATAGGCATTACTTAACGTAATTGTGTCCCGTGAAAAATATAACTACGCCAACTATTAATAACAGCTGCAAGAAAGAGAAAATGCTGGAGCTGAATGTGTCATCTGCTGTAATCAAAAGGTACATGAGTAAGTCCTTGAACGGGGGAAACATAATACAAGCCTTAGATGTTTGTCTTTATTTGATCTGCAGTATCACAAACCCAGTGACTCACCTGACAGCCTACAGTAGGATAATTGCTTAACCTGCGAATTACAAGGCCACCTCATCAGTCAAGCTATGTAGTTCCTGGTTCAAGCCTTCACTTACTATCCCAAATGTGACAGGATAATGGAAGTGGCTAGGAAAAAGGGAATCGGGGCTTGTCTACATGGCAGATCTTTCCAGTTATACAGGTTGAACCTCTCTAATCCGGCACTCTCTGGTCCAGCAACCTCCATGGTCCGGGATGATTTGAGTTAGCCGGATGTCCACTTGTCATGGGTGTGGCCGAGTTTCCGCAGTCCCATAAAGTTTGTTGACAGCCCCCAGTCCTGGCTCTCAGTGTTCTGTGCTGTTATTTAGCTCTACTTTACCCCTCAATGTCTTCTGAGAACTCGGTGAGCAGTGGCAGTGTTGGTAATGCCGCTAGGCAATATTGACAGTATTGACTGTGGGGGACACTCGTTCAGGTATAACGTTGGGTTTTTTCATCTTAGCTTAAACTGCTTCCAAACGAGCAGAACCTAAACTGGAAAAAGGCCCTTTTATACTGGAAATAGAAGTTATACTGGTATAACTGTAATGGCTTAAATTGACACCCTGCCTTATACCCATATGACTTCTGGGCTTCCCACTACAGAGGGGATGTGTCCAGTGGAGGGCAACCAAAATGATTCGGGGGCTGGAGCACATGACCTATGAGGAGAGGCTGAGGGATTTGGGCTTGTTTAGTCTGCAGAAGAGAAGAGCGAGGGGGGATTTGATAGGAACCTTCCACTCCCTGAAGGGGGGTTCCAAAGAGGCTGTTCTCAGTGGTGGCTCCCAGTTGTAGCGAATATGTCTACAGAACGATAGAACTGGAAGGGACCCCAAAAGGCATCAAGTCCAGTCCCCTGCCCTCACGGCAGGACCAAGCACCGTCTAGATCATCCCTGTTCAACCTGTTCTTGAATATCTCCAGGGACGGAGATCCCACAACCTCCTGAGGCAATTGATTCCAGTGTTTCACCACCCCGAAAGGAAGTTTTTCCTAATGTCCAACCTCAACCTCCCTTGCTGCAATTCGAGCCTATTGCTTGTCCTACAGTTTATGGGCCTGAAGCCTTGTCTGTCCTCAGAGGTTTGATTCAGCTGGCATGTAGTGGCAGAGCAGATCTGCAGGTCTCTGGTGGAGGATGTTAAGCTTTGGTTTTAAAAAAACCCAATCAGCAAGCTCTTATTATCCGTGCCTTCTCTAAGCTGGCCGTCTTGAGGAGGATTCCTGAAAAAATAGCTTTGACAAATATGTGATTTCCCCCCCGTTCATCCCAATGAGGGGTTGATTCTGAAACTTAACGATGATGATTTAACTGCTTGTAATTGTTAGTAGCAACCTCCAACTTTCCCTGGAGTGCTGGATGGAGCAAGAGGTTGTGGGTAACGGTTCAGTACCACCCCTGTATTCTTACAGTGCAGATCTGTCTCCGGCCTAATAGTAACACCCCTGATGGATACTTTTTGTTGTTGTTGTTGTTGAACACAGAAGAAAAAGAAACTCACTTTTGTCTCTAATACCCTGGGAGCTCATTGCAGGACATTCAAGCAGTCCTGAAATCCCTGTCTCCAAATGCAGCATTGAGCCCTTGTAAATGCTTGCTTGGCAGATGCTTTTACATTTGCCCCGGAGTTAACGCTCTCCAGGGATGGTGCAGTTGCCATAGTTCTCACCCCAGCCTCTGAGTTTTCCATGCCCACGAACACACGTCTGCAGAGAATTACACACGCGGCAGGTACGTTCACCGGTACTGTGGTGTAGATGTGACTTTTCAGGTAGTGTTGTCAGCCCAGTGTATAGTTGGATCGTCACCGATCTCTGGAGTCGAGAAAGCCTCCCTTTGTTCATGAATTCCAACCGGAGCCAGCCAGCTAACGGGCGCTCTTCTGATTAGCAGATGCTTGAATCTGCTGCATCTGTTGCCATGTATTAGAAGTTAATCCTTTTGATAAGAGCACATCCGTTAAGAATTTATTTTTTTTTAATTTCAAGATCCCCGATTATCAGATTGTTACAGATGTACCAGATCGGAGTGACCTTTCCAGGGTATTATTCCTTCCTCTTGTGCTGTTGTCAGTGTGACAGTGAAGTACTTCTCTCCCGGCGACTGCTTTTTAAAATTTTCCACTGTGTAATCAGGTTCACCAAAAACTCGTTTTCCCTGCTTGTGAAATAGCATTTCATGCTTCATTTTTGCACGTGTGTTTGGTTACAGATTCAGAGGAAGCCGAGTGTAGACCACATTGTGCTTTGTAATCTAGGCTGTCATCTCAAATGTTGTCTGTCAGAAAGGACAA